GGGGCAGACGTGGGCGTGGGCGTGGGCGCCGATCAAAATGGTGGGATGATTGAGAGGGACGGGATTATGGCTGTCGAGGTTTTGTCCGAAACATGGAGTGGAAAATAACGCTTCTCGATCGATCGATACTACCTTGACACCAAGCCGGTTGCCCAACAAAATATGGGGGTGGATTGATGGATGGTGGTGAGGGCGGGAGGATATATTTTGGGCAAAGAAGCGCAGGCACCGCAGGGAGGAGATGGATAGACAATTAATTAATTGACGGTACAGAAACCTCCACGTTGTCGTTGTCGTCGACCAGTTTCCCCCAATCAAGCAATTAATCAATCACGAGAGGTGAGTTGCAAGTTACAACCCTGACCGCCAGATGGGAAAAAGATGTGCTACACCCGCGCAGTCCTCAGGATGGAGCCCAATTGTTCCCACTTTTACCCATTGGGTTCCTCTTTGGTCCCTCTGGCTCCCTTTTGGCTCCCTTTGGCTCCCTCTGATTCCCTCTGGGAGCTTCCCTCCGGCTCGTTATCATTTGCTGCAGCTGTCGGTCAGGGACCAAACACTATGCACAACTACATCACCCCTTGTCATGGTTGTTTTTCTGCCATGATCACCCATCCACAGCCCATCCCTCCCTCCCTCCATCCATCCACACCAGATCCTCGCCCACAGCACATGCCGGTGATGAAATCGTTGGCTCTGAGGCAGTAGTCTTCTGGTACCATTGGACCAGTCGACGCCAGCAGCTCTCGCTAAAGCTTGCTGTTTTCAATTTTCTTGGATTGTCTCATCCCACCTTGAGGTTTTGCATCACCGCTCCTACTTTTCTACAACTCACCTCTTTCACTTTCTCTTCACTTCACCCTCACATTCCACCCTACACCACAATCTCTGCAACACCCATCTGGACGAGTCTCGAGCCTCCAGCGAGTTGCTAATTCGTCTCCAGAACCCCTAATATCTCGGCCTTTCCCAGACTGATCTGAGACTGTCTCCAGATCAAATCTCGCTCCTCCACTCCGTTTCATCTCCTCGGTGCACAGCGCAGCCATGGCCTCGAAAGCGATTCCATCTCATCTCCGTCCTCACGGTGCAGCCAACGGTTCTAACGGCCCTGCCCCAGCTGAGAAGAGACATCACGGCAAGACACAGTCTCATGTGGTAAGAAAAAAAAAATACATTCCTTGATTCCTTGCTGCTCCTCGTACCACATCACTCCCTGCCATCCACTATTCGAGATGCAAAATAGCATGACACGACGGCAAACTCCCTCCTTCCCATGACGCACGGACCCGTTTTCCGCATACCCCGGAGTCCGTTCTGGATGCCTGCCACCTCGTCTGGAACTCAATACTACGAGGTCATGGTGTTGGCGATCGGTCCATGTTGAAATGAGGTGTCAAACACTGTTTTGTATTCGTCATCTCATGCTTCGCGCAATATCCCTCGAATCTGCTGCTGGGATTCATTGAAAAAGTTGCCTTGATCGGTTTCTTTGCTCTTGCTCTTTTTCCCTTTTTTCGATTTCTACACCTTCCCTTGTTCAAAATGCCGCTACTGGAACCTCCTCCGCCAATCGAGTTGCGCACTTCTTCTCTTTCTCCCAACTCTATCCACCATCTACCAGACCCTCTGCTGATCAAGTCTCCCGCAATGCAGGCCTTTGAAAACACCTCCACCAATGTGGCTGCCAGCCAGATGCGCAATGCCCTCAACAGTCTCGCAGACACGGTCAAAGACCCGGCAGAAAAGAAGAGGTTCGAGGCGGAAATGGACAACTTTTTCTCCCTGTTCAGAAGATATCTCAATGACCGGGCTAAGGGCAACACCATCGACTGGGCCAAGATAAACCCTCCAAATCCAGACCAGGTGGTCGCATATGACGACTTGCCCAACAGCGACGCAGTCGAGTTCTTGAACAAGCTCGCAGTGGTCAAGCTCAACGGTGGTCTAGGTACTTCGATGGGTTGCGTTGGTCCCAAATCTGTCATCGAGGTCAGAGATGGAATGTCGTTCCTTGATCTTTCCGTCCGCCAGATCGAGTACCTCAACCGCACCTACGACGTCAACGTTCCGTTTGTTTTGATGAACAGCTTCAACACCGATGAAGATACCGCTTCCATCATCAAAAAATACGAGGGCCACAATATTGATATCCTGACCTTCAATCAATCCCGTTATCCTCGTGTCCTCAAGGACTCCCTGCTTCCTGCGCCCCGATCGTACGATTCCCAGCTCTCCGACTGGTATCCTCCCGGACACGGCGACGTTTTCGAATCTCTTTACAACAGTGGCATCCTTGATCAGCTCTTGGATCGTGGCATTGAAATAATTTTCCTGTCGAACGCAGACAACCTTGGTGCCGTGGTGGATCTACGCATCCTGCAGCACATGGTTGAGACCAAAGCCGAGTACATCATGGAATTGACCGACAAGACCAAGGCTGATGTCAAGGGTGGTACCATTATCGACTACGAGGGCCGCGCACGACTACTGGAAATTGCCCAAGTTCCCAAGCAATACGTCAATGAGTTCAAGTCGATTAAGAAGTTCAAGTACTTCAACACCAACAACATCTGGATGAATCTGCGAGCTATCAAGCGGGTGGTCGAGAACAACGAGTTGGAGATGGAGATCATTCCCAACGAAAAGTCGATCCCGGCGGACAAGAAAGGCGAGGCGGACATTTCTATTATCCAGCTCGAGACTGCTGTGGGTGCTGCCATCAAGCACTTCAAAAACTCCCACGGTGTCAATGTTCCCCGTCGACGATTCTTGCCTGTCAAGACTTGCTCAGATCTCATGCTGGTCAAGTCGAACTTGTACACCTTGTCACATGGTCAATTGATCATGGACCCCAATCGATTCGGCCCTGCACCGCTAATCAAGTTGGGCAGCGACTTCAAGAAGGTCGCGCAGTTCCAAAAGAGAATCAGCAGCATCCCCAACATTGTCGAGTTGGATCATCTGACTGTCACTGGTGACGTGAACTTTGGCCGTGGAATTGTCCTGAAGGGTGAGTGTCTATCACGTTTGAGGTCTTGCAGACATGCTAACTCGTTGTGACCACAGGTACCGTCATCATCGTGGCCACTGAGAACAGCACCATCGACATTCCCCCTGGATCAATCCTGGAGAACGTCGTGGTTCAGGGGTCTTTGAGACTGCTTGAGCACTAGTTTTAACGCGTGTGGGCGTGCGTTATCTACTGTGCAGATGTGGCAATGGCTTAGTACCAACCTTTGATAGTGTGTACAGTGCCATACAAATTGTGGGATTGGATGGTGCGGGGAGAAGTTGTGATTCAAATGCTTAGACAAGAGATGATGTCATCCTCTTATTTCCCAAGATGGGAAGCCGGAAAATGTGTGGAAAGCAGAAAGGGCATGGATTGGTCGTACGGCTTTTCTAGCTCTCATACTAATTAAAGGGTGTCATATGGCATTATCAATGGAGCGAGACTGTTGTGTAACCCCGGGTTCTAATCGATATTGTCGACGATGCATCACAAAAGCTTCAATCTTGCCCACCTTCGAGTAAACACTGTGACGTCACAGCGTTAGCTCTTGGCATGTTACATAAGTCCCACCCGGCGAGCCGGATAAACTTTACCGAGTACAGGAACTATTTATCCCAGTGGTTAGTCATTTTTCCGGCGGGGCGGGACCACCAGGGCGGCATTTTGATATTCCTGGGCCGAAGGCTGAGGCTCAACCTTGTAGGTGCGATTCATGGATATCTACTAGATTATCTACCGGGGACGTTCGTAGTCGATCTCTGCACAGGCTCTTTTTTTTTTTTTTCCCCTTCTTGATCCCGTTTCCGACGCTGTTGTCGAGTTATTCTATCCTATCTTCCTAGGAGAGGCAGGCTGAGCTGCTAGCCATCGCTGATATTGAAAGTTAAGGGGCGGAGGAAGCGGAGAAGGAGGAGAAGAAAAAGAAGAAGAAGGGGGAGCAGCAAAGACGACGAAGACGAGAACCAAAAGAAGAAAACTCCATAGGCACGAAGGAGGGAGATAGGAGAGTGAGGTCGTGCGAATCGTCCCACTCGACGCACTGCTCGCATTCAGTCTCGGAAAGAAGGAGCAGAAGGAGGATCAGTTGGCAAACGAAAAAAGCCGCCACAAAACCTTTTTCGCCAAAGAAACCCGCCGGAATCAGATCAGATCAGATCAGATCAGAAAAAGAGGACATTTAACAGTCCAAGTAACAGCAAAAACGAAAGAAAAAAAAAAAAGGGAAACACGGAAAGGGAATAATGGCTTCCACCACATCTACCAACACCAACACCACACCCAACACAACCGGCACAGCAAGTAAGACCACGAGCGCCGGAACATTCACGCTCCTCCTCTTCGCGTCCGCGAGCACCTTTGCCGGCGGGGTCGAGACGCTCCGGCTCCCCGGGCCGACGACGCTGCGCGGGGTCTTTGAGGCTCTCGAGGCGCGGTTCCCGGGCATGCGCGACGCGGTGCTCCGCAGCGCGGCCGTGACGGTGAATCTCGAATATGTCGACGTTGATCCCGACATCGACGCTTCTGCCGGGCAAAAGCGAGATGGGGACGTTGGGGGCGATGCGACGGACAAGGGTGACGGGCTGGATATGGTGATCAACGCGGGCGACGAGGTCGGAATCATCCCGCCGGTGAGTAGTGGGTAGGTACTACCTACCTACAGTCCTATCTACAGGATGTATGGTACGTGGGATTATAGATAACCTGGTCGCCCTGGTGAAAAGGGGAAAGGGTCGGATGTCACAGGTAGTATGGGTCAGGAGGAGTATTGGAGGGAGGAATACATTCGACGTCACCGGAGACCGTGAGATGAAATGGGAAAATACTCATTGATTCGTTATCGTGTACCGACTCACACTGTCTCAAGCACATATTATCTCGTACGTATCTTGCGCTTCGGTCGCTGGAAAACAAGAAATCCTCGGCCTGGGTGAACTGGCCTCGACAGACGAGTCTCGCCGCCCCAGTCTCACGACTCACACGTTACTTAGTCGATGATAATAATGGTGTCTCCAGTTTCGCCGTCAGCATCAAAGCCTCCTCCCTGAGAGTTGGGGTATTCTACTTGAATTTCTTCTTCACCTGAGCAGGTCAACTTGATAACTGGCTGACCTCTTTCTCTTCGGCGACGCTCAATCTCGGATTCAAGACAGTTCCAGCACATGACGTTGTTGTTGTTGTTGTTTAGTACGTATACTCTGGACCCCCCAACAGTCTGCTCCGCGATGCAGGCCGCAGCCAACCGAGCCGACCAATTCTCGTGTGCTCGGAATATGCCAACACTATCTGGAGGATCCAAGAGCTCCTCAAAATTGCCGATACTAATGCATTCAGTCTTGGAGTTCGCCCGTCTGGACCCACATAAGCACTCGCCACTTACGCGGCTATTTTCGATTTCTTCGAGAGCTGCAAGGACATCGATATCTCCGTACCAGCGACCTCTGTCGTGTACTGACACAACCGCTTCGACCTGGAAGATATCCTGGTCGATGTTGCCGACCTTGCTGGAGGAGAGAACAACGGGTACTCTCCATTCAGTCAGCGAGAGGTGTAAAGAGGTGGCGGCAAAGTTATCTTCCCGTCTGTAATCGTATGGGGCATGTTCCACGGCTCGAAAGTCTCTTGTCTTCTCTTTCACCATCACTGTTTCTGGGCTGACGAGAACAGACACTCCAGGGCGGCCGAGATTGCCGGCTATCCTCCGAATAGCACAGTCAGATTGCGTTTGTGATGGGTCCGAGAGGAGCGATTCTGCAACGAAGATGGAGTTGCCGGCCGCTACCGCCAAGGCCCGATCAAACAGAGACGCGTTAATCTGAATGCCTCCCATTTCCATCATACAAACGCACGCAAGCGCATTTCGCCTCGAGATCCAATATGATGTGACACTTGTACGATTATCCTCTAGGACACAGAAACGACTTTCCGCGATTTTGATAGGGAACGTCGCACAGGGGAAGCGTGCATAGATTCTTAACAACAACGCCAAGCAGAAGAGGGAACTGTGGGTGGTCACTGCGAGTGGTCCTCGTGGCATTTGCTGGAGGGAATATCTGGTTCTTTCCAGCCAGTCGGGTACTGAGAAATTAGTTCTAGAACAGAGATCCAGCCTTTACAGGGTTTAAACACTCACGGGAACTAGGCAGACTAGTTAAATATCGGACGAGTCTGCCTTCGGAAAATTGCTCGAGTTGTGCGGGACGCGGCGCCTCTTCAGACTTCAGAGCTGCCTCGTTTGCACTTCGGACGGAAGAGAATGTCTCCAAATGGCGCTCATAAAGCGAATCACTCTCATAGATGGTAAAGAGACCGATTTCTTGCTGCCCGACACTAGCGCTCCACACTGGGCAGAACATGTACCACAGGCTCACCTCAGTTTTCTGCGAATTCCCTGAAAGCCCGGGATCCGGACGTTTCAGGTCCTGTTCCAAGTGAGCATGTCTCTGGCGTTTGTCTAGGACCTCGTTATACAACCGCTGTGATTTTTGGAAGCCTTTCCTCTTCAGAGGCTTGACTCCTTGAAACCCGGCACCGGATATGAAATGGGGAAGACTCCGCAGATAGAATGAGGATGGCAACACTCTCCTTGCAACCAAGTCACCTCCGCTGAGAGGCAGGTATTCGTCTGGGTCAATGACTCCAACAATCTCGACAAACGATGCTTGCCGGAGGTTCAATTCTTGCTGAAATCCTTCCACGACATTGGAATTGGATGTCACAACCCACCGTACGTGAACATCCTGTGGCTGCTGGCCATCAGCTACAGAATCTTGCTGAAGCGACAAATTTGTAGGAGTGGCAGTAGCTAGAACAAGTACCTCGATGTCTGCGATCTTCTCGAAATATTGAATGACGGAAAATGTCAAAATGTTGTTGCTTTCTGCTACCGATCGGACATGACGAAGGTATTCTTCTTCTGAAGAAGAAGGCATTGCCAGACTATATGCGACGTGTGGATCACATAGCCCGAGAAATGAACTGTTTCCCCGCACCGAAGAATCTCCAAGGAGGTGTTTTCCGCGTCTGCGACCATAACGAACTAGCTTCTCAAAGTCTGCAGATTCAGCCTCGGATTTATCTACCAGGAGCTTTGATGCCTTCATCAGGGGCTGTAGCCAGTGAAGATGGAGGTATTTGTCCACCTTTTCCTCGGCCAGATCTTCTCCTCGATGTCGCTTTATCAGACTATCGAGGGAACAGAACCATGAGACGACATCAACCATCATATCGCAAGGCAGATTCCAGTGGAAAAGTAAGGATCCGAACGCGATAAGGCACAGCTCGTTCACCGTGATCCGATAGTTGTCATGATCCGTCTGAAGGCTGACAGGCTCTCCATAGTATCTGAAATGGGAAAGTGCCAGTGACCATTGAAACCCTGGAGAAATGCCGTCATCGTCTTTGAGTGATAAGCCCACGGTAATTGCGACAGAGGCTGGGAATAATGAATCCTGAAAGACCACTTTTTTTCGTCTCGGACGAGAGGACGATGAGATCAGGATACAAGTGCCATGCCGACAAAGCCAGCAAGACAGAGCTGTCGGTCGCATTCTGTGGGTTCCCGTCCAGAAGAGCTTCGAAGCCATTAATTGCCCCTTCCCAGGCATTGATGATTTTGGCATACGTATCTTTGCCAGCGCTTACGGGCAGAGTGGTTAGGTTGTCCAAGATCAGCCTGAGTTGCTTCAATTTCTTGATCATAACTTGGTCAGCTGTGATCAACCAAGCCCGGACACTTGCATCAAAAGTGGCGAGGTCCTCGCGCAAGATCCTTTGGTGAGCTGCAATGACGGCTTCGCTCATGACGAACCCTGTTGATTCGGCTGTGGCGAGCACTTCCTTTTGGCGGATTGCCACTATTTCTACCCAGAGTGCGACACTCAATTTTGGATCGTCAAATTTTCTTGCCAACAGGCATGCTAACAACAACACCACGAGGGATGCAGAGCCAGATGTAGCAGCTGCCCAGATGGAAGTGGCATCCGCCCCGACCGAGTCTTTGAACGGTCCATCTTGAGGCGTACCCGCGGGATTAGCACCGGGGGTCTTGATGATCTCGGAGACTCTTTGGCCGAAAGCACGAAGAAGCTTTGGGGCATTGGGAGCAACGTGGGAGAATAATGCTCCTAGTAAACGAGCGGTCTGATGGTGAGAACCCAGCTCAGCCGTCCGTCGTCGCTGCACCGATAAGGCAGAGCCAAGAGGTTGAAATTCGATGGGCGCCTCAAGCTTGACGAGGGAAAACCCCAAGTTCAGGTTGGCAAGGGAAAAGGAGGTTTCATTGGTCCCAGACAGAATAGCATTTGTCACTTTCCCAAATATCTGAGACATTCCGACTGGCTATAGAGAAGAAGCCTGGTCGTCGACGTGGATTGTGAAAAAGACAGACTTCTTGATGTTTCTAACAGATGAGAAGACGTGGTTTGAGGCTGGACAGGAGTTGATCAGGCAGCAAGCAGCTAACGCGAACCAGGTGCGCTGCACGCGCCTCATTGTCTGTGAGGACGAATCAGGGGTGCAGAACTCTTCGCGATGGCGCTGCGGCTGACCAAGGGACAACATCCACAGCCTGACTGCTCGACGGAAATCCATGGCAGACTGGGTTGTGGCGTGATTGATAGAGTTGTGAGACCAGGGTCGGAGTGCAACGAGCAAGTCGTGAGAAGAAGAGTGAAAAGAGCAACTAAATGACTACCTCGTATACCGTGGGCGCACCCTCGATTCCAACCCTGCTGGGGAGGCAGCGGCGAACGGAAGAAATGAAACAGGCAATGGGGTTGAAGGAACAAAACACGCAGCCATTCATATGTGACAAAGTGCTGATGTTGACACCGGATCATGGAATCAGCAGAAAGTCAACGACGCCAACGAACCCTCGGTACGATTGAGCCCATCCTCAACTGCGCCTCAGTGCAGAGTTTGAGTAGGGACGATGGACACGACGCAGGTACGTGAGACCAGGCCGGGGGCGTGAGGGCCGCTAGGGCATTATTACCATCGACATCCTTGCTTGGATTATGGCATCCATCGAGTCGGACCTACAGCGCTTCCCCGCGTTGACGGCATCAAGCCGATTCACAATCATGCCCGTCAGTCTGTCAAGCTGATGGTTCATGATGACCACCACAACCAATACAAACCCATTCCGCGATGGCATATATAGCCCCTCCAAATTCTCGTCTGTGGGATTGCCTCAGATTCCTGACTACGAGCGTTTAGAGTGACTAACAGCGTGTCATGAATATGGCAAACACACTTTCCAGGGAAGTAAAGTCGCTGTTCAAATCCTTCGGCTCTTCTTCTCCTCACCCTGACGGCCTCTATCGCCCTGATGCCGTCGTGAGACATGCCGACACTGAAGGCAACATTTCAACGACCTTCTCCGCTGCTCAATCACCAGCGTCATCGCCAACTTCCCTGGAGCAACCCATCCTGATAGAACTCTTCCAATCACAAGGCTGCAACTCCTGCCCTCCCACGAACGATAATCTCATCGCCTTCGTTCAGCCACACCAGTCCTCGTACCAACATAACTCGACACCTCGCTTTTACGCCAGCCGATCCCCGTCCTCTTCCCCGACCACCCTCCCAAATTCGCCTCATGGGCCAGAGTACCTGTTGCTCACGTACCAAGTGACATATTGGAACTATTTGGGCTGGGAAGACACATTCAGCTTACCCAACAACGACGTCCGTCAGCGAGATTATGTCAGGAGGATGGGTCTGCGTGCGGCTTACACGCCGATGGTCGTGGTGAATGGACGGGGCGTCGGTGTGGGCAACACCACGGAAGATCTGGAGCGGATCGTACGGGCGGGACGAAAACCTGCCCGCAAGACAGAAAGAGTTGGTATTAAGAGATTGTTAGAAGCGGGAGAAGACGGGCAGCTGGGAATCCTCGAGATCGATGCGACTGCCCTTCCACCGTCATACTTGCAATCTCCAGGCCACCACCTCGAGGTGTGGGAAATAACATATACATCCAGCTCACAAGACGTACACATCTCGCGTGGCGAAAATGCTGGTCGGACGCTCCCACATCTCAATGTGGTCAGCGAGGTTCGAAAAATTGGGTCTTTGGAGCGTGGTACCAAGGAGCGTTTCCCATTCTCAGGGCAGAACGAGAGGCATGCGAGTGCTGGGAAGGAAAAGGTGGTAATTGTGCAGGACGGGAAAGGTGGTGAGACTTGCGGTATCCTGAAGCTGTAAATACTTTTGAACTTTTGACACGACTTCTGTAACAGGGTCTGGATCAGACTTGCTGAGGTGTTCAGTCTATGCAGTATAGATTAATCCTGCATTTATTCCGACTTCAAAGCCCTATCACCGCTGTGTTTCTTACCGTGCAATCGGGTCGGTGAGGCAGTCAAGTCAAGCACCAGTCTTGTACAAGGTTCCCTGCTGGCTCTCCAACTCATTTCCAGCAGATGACTTCTCCCTGAAGCGCGGCGTACCACGCCTCGGGACTGTCACCCCAAGCCCTTAAGCCGTTAACCATGGCGTCGATCTCAGCCTGACTACGGACGAGTTGGAGCTCTCCCAGCCACTTTCGACCGATCTCACCTTTGAGCCGCTCGACTTGGATGTTGGCCCACCATTTGGATTCGTCGGGTGCGGGATGGCAGGTTGCACCCGCGCGGACCTGCATCTTGGACCTCTCGAACCCGGCCTCTTGGGCCCACAGGTGAATTCGGCGGCCGGAGCCAATGCCTTGGGCCCCTGGGGACACTGCCTTGGCCATGGTTGTCAGAAAGGCTTCTGTCCCCGGGTTGCTAGGATGGTAGATCAGCGTGTCGGTCTCGCGCATGGCGAGCATGCCGCCTGGCTTGAGGATACGAAGCGCTTCCCGTATGACGCGGACGGGCGTGGGGATGTGGTAAAGCACCTGGCTGGTATAGACGACGTCGACCGAGTTGTCGTCCCAGGGCAAGCGGGCGGTGATGTCGCCCACACGGAACGTCAGGTTAGGATGTTCGTTCCCTGGGGCCCCCGAGCGGGCTAATGTGATGACCGACTCCGCAGCGTCGATCCCAATCACCGACCCTTGAGGAACATGGGGGCAGAATCCTCTGGTGATGGTGCCGGGGCCACAGCCTAGGTCCACAATCGTGAAATGTGGCTGCAGATGAGGAAGCAAGAACGCTGCAGAGTTTTCAACCGTGCGAGACGCGTGTGATGCCACAACGGCTGCGCTGTGGCCTTGGGTGTAGGTCGACGTTGAAGATTGGGGCTGTGGGTTCATCGTCGGTAGTTCGGCCCGGTGTATATATTTCGATTACAGGGAGGTTAAGCAGAGGATTCTCGTCCTTCGCAGGCTAGAAAAGGCAGCTATCGACTTTGCGGGCAAAGCTGAATGTCGCGCTCTAATTTGTGAGACCTGTGAAGTGCAAGGAATGATGGTTAGCGAAGCAGAGTGCATGAGAAGAGGCCGCGGCGTCCCGAGTTGTACGCGCAAGTTGAAATCCCCAATGGTGAGCTAGTTTGATTGCAGGGCGCTTCGGCACAGCAGGGCGTATAAGTCCTCGTACACACTTGATGACGCTCTTCAAAGGACCGCGTAGATATTGTGTACCGAGTACAGAACATTAATTATGCACTCTCATAGATGCAGTCCGAAGCTTGGCACAACGTAAAATTCTAGGGCAGAGTGTTGGGGCAGATAGCGCAGTTCCCGTGACTCAAATGCCAAGTTTCCGAAGGATTTCTTTGTGATTCCGAATCTGGATTAGTGTTAACGCTACCTACACGTGTTCCACTTGTCATCATGGATGCATTCCTCTCACTATAAGACCTGATTATTCACTTTTCCCCTATAGAAGCGGATTAACAATCTTGTTCCTGCAGGATCTTCATTGCTCCGCAGATATACTGACAGATACGTAGCATAACTTGACGACGAGTCATCTACTCTGAGGGAAAGACCTTCGACCGAAGCACCCAACCACACCTAGGTGACACCCCTGGCGCGAGTAGCTTACGCTAAACCTCGACAAAGTCAAATCCCCGTCGTCTACCAGCGCCACCCTAACTAGTTGCAGGTGTTGATCTCCCCTGAATAACACGCTAAAAACAACACGCGGGAGCGTTGGCCACAGTAGTCGCCCGACTTTTGTCACGGAAAGAGACCGGAGAAGAAAGAACCCTGCGAGCGGAGACGCCCATCTGATCGCTCAAGATTCACTTCCTACTATTTCTCACACTGACGAAGATCTACACAGAACAGTTGACATCATTGCATCCCGGTCCTGTATCTTCAGAATCGCATCTGATAAACCAGCGGCATCTGCTGTTGTGGTTGGAGCCTGTCCCACAGTAAATCGCACGTGTACAGTTACGCCCATGGAATACATTACATTAGTCCATCAGAAAACATGCAAGCGAAACTTTCATGGATCATTTCAAATCGCCCTGAAGATGCGTGGAACAAGAGTACAAGGGAATCGAACACCTTCCTAGCTTGTGCAATACCGTCCTGTGCTAAAATCCAAGATGCGCATTCAATTCAATTGTCTTCTACGTCAATTCAGAACCCAAACGTCTGCATATCCGTATTCTCTGCACATTAACACTTTCCTCCCGACATATTTTCCCCTTTACATGCCAAGACCGAGAGCACGGGCCCTGAGGGCAACAGAGCTGGCCACACTGGGCGGGTTGGTGGCGCATGACAGGCCGAAAGACTGGAGCCAAGCAGCGTTGTCGAATTCAGCATAGTTCTTCTGGATCTTGCCCTCGCTGTTGATGATCATGTGGTTGATACCATTGACGGGGAAGCGAGTCGAGGTGATTCTCCATCTCCAGGTGATGGTGTTGCAGTCGTGCCAGATGTTGAGAGCGGTAACAGCCACCTCAGGTTGGAGAACACCCTGACCGTAGTCGAAAGCTTGCTTGCTAGGGAAGGTGACAGAGCCAAGCTAGAATGCGTTAGTACAATACAAAATTGAGATATCAGATTTACTTACAGGGAAGCCAGCCATGAAGTTGATCGAGTCTGAAATGTCGCTGAAGTCGGATGCCAAAGTGGCGTCGGAGACGTTTTGTTGGTAACCCCGGCCCGGTGCTCCTTGAGTGCCGTTGTACGAGGTGAACTCGAGCAGGATCATGAAGTTTTCGACCAATGTGGTGGCCAAAGCATCGTCAACAACGCAAGACGAGGGAGTGTCCGACGAAGAACCGCTGCCAGGCTTCGTAACGGTGGCAGTCTCGGTCGTTGTGACTGTGGTGGTGGTAGCCGTGGCTGGGCCTTGAGTGATGGTGATCGTAGTGGCAGTGCCGGCCGCAGGGCATGAGCTGTAGGTAGGAATGACCTTCGTGGAGGTCTCAGTGATGGTGGTGGAAGTACCAACGGGGCAAGTGCTGCCGCTCACGACGGTGGTGGTGCCAGTAACTGTGGTAGTCAAGGTCGAAGTACCGACTGTGCAGCTGGCGCCGGAGCCACCGGTGGGCTTGACCCAGATGGTCTTGGTGGTTGTGGTTGGTGCAACGGTGGTGGTCTTCACCTCGGTGTAGCCGAAGCACGAGCATGCGCTGGTGTAAGCGGCCTCGTTGCAAGCGCTGGCGTAGTTGGGAACCTCATTGGGGCAAAGGGCAACGGTGGTGCGCTTCCAGTTGTCCTTACCGCCGTGTCCAGTGATGGTCTCGGTGACGGTGACGATAGGGGTCACAGTGGTTGCCAGGAAGCTGGAGCAGTGAGAGGCTCTGAGCGCACCGTCTCCCAAAGCAGCCTTGCCAGTCACAGCAGCCAAGCAGGCGTTGTTGGCGCAAGAACCACCATGAACAGGATTAGCCAGGACGCCGCTGGCCAAGGCAGCCAGCGGCAAGGCGACAGACAAATATTGCATAACTAAAGTAATTCGACGATTGTAACTGTTGAAAACGAGTGGAACAGGCCAAAGACCTTAGCAAAATGATAAAACGAGCTCAAAAAAGAGTGGATGATTGAAAAGTCAATCAAAGTCGTGAGATGTTGTAACGAGCTGGGAGAGAAAGAACAGATGGTGTGAGACTGGAGGGGACCGTCCGAAGTACTTATGGGATGCGAGACCTAACGTCTCGACTCCCGCCATGGTGGACCTGGACTCTATGACATTCCGGCGCTCAATAACCCCAGCCAGCCACGAGGGCGGCCTGAGACTTCGGCTGTAGCGTCAGGTTCAGAAGCTAATTTCACGAATGAGGCTCCCCAAGATCCTCGAACGCCGAAAAAAGGAGGTCATCTCAAGAAAACACTAGCCCCGGGCAAGGAATCGACAAATCCAGAATACCACGGATAGTGCAAGGCATGACGGCTAGAACCTTGTGGAGGTGACAGACCGAGATCCAATGATGGCTTGCGATGGGCAAATTGCTGCTGGACTTGGCCACCTCCAACTGGACAAGACCTCACCGGCCTTGATAGACCTTTGCCTGCGGGAGGAACGTGGCAGGATTTACCTTTTTCCCGTATCCCTGCATGAAGATGACACCAAGAGTCAGTTTGATGCGAATTCAACTCATCAAAGCTTGATTATGGCGATGGTACATCCAAGGGCGACCTACCGGTGACCGACACTCATTCTGCGCCTCTGTAATTCCCCTCTTCCAGGCTAGGGGTACCGACAAGGGTGGAGATATTTCAGGAGACGTTTGTAGACTCGAGGCGTACCTGGCGGATAGACTGTCGGCTCGGGTGGCTCAAACAATAACGGAGCCAGTCCCAATTTGGAAATGTATAGGCCAATCAGTAGTAGAACTTGGCCGTTTTACGGCTGGGAGCCATTGACACCCTATGCATGTTCCGGATCCACACCTTTGTTGCAATTCACCCTATTCGGCAGTCAAGTCTTACGCTTTTTGTTTTCAGCTTGGGCGCGTCCATTGTTGTGATGCCGGTCAACGGGCGCGCTCATGCAACGTGTACCGAGCAGAGCTTTCTGGATCGCAGCCCAGCAACAGGCTGGATCGACATCACCAACGCTTCCACGTTTCCTGGGTTTAACTCACCACAGCCTCATGGCATGCGGGACATCTTTCTTACTTTACCAAGTCAACTCACGTCTCCAGTGCTGACCGTGTTGGGGCACTGTTTAATCACCGTCTTTCTCGCCTTATTGTCTTTGTCACATTCCTTCCATTTTCAACCTGCATAGGGTTGCTATGAGGAGTGAGCAGAACTGGGGAATGACTCCGTAGGGCAGCTGCCCGTATGGTCAGGGGTGGGGGAAATTAGGTGGTGGTTGACTGGAGGGTTCCAAGCAGGGGTTGCAGTGCGTTTCGTGTGGTACCCTGAAAAGGCCTGACGAGGACGAGGACAGGTTCCTTGGTTGCCCACCCAAAACTCGTGTGTTTCAAGGCATCCTGTTCTGGTGCAAATTTACCATGCAGGCTCTGACGCCAAAGTGGCTGTTGTGAGTTCACATCCATCTTGTTTGTGTAGATTTGATGGGTGACATTCCCGTTGGCTTCGGGTATCAATGTTCGTGTTCTGCGATGGAGAAGAAAAGGGGACGGTTTGAGTTTTACTGTAGGTTTAGCGTTGACATTCAAGCAGCGGCTAGAACGCCAAGGCTCAACACTAGAATGATATATTGGCCAATCATACTGTATAGTGACGTATTAGTCAGATCCATAGAGAAACATTTTGCTTCGTCCTAATTTCCACCGCGATGGCCTTTCTCCAACCAAACTCTTGGAATCAAACAGTTTTTTTTTATCTCCCTACCCAGACGAGTAAGTACATTCTTTGCTCAGCACGACTTGATTCGATCCTTGTCCACTCGTACGAGCATAACAGGAGACATCGTACTAGGACGAGGTACTCGGTACAGTACGAGTACTGAGAACAGTGATCAGCCTTCCAATCACGGCCATTCAATCTTCTATTTTCGATATGAAAGTTTGCCCTCCATCACACATCAGATGGCAATCCCCGGAGACGACGAGCATACACCCAACGGTGCGCACGCGGAGGTTTCCGACAATGAGCCGGTAGCTGTGGCTCCCGAGGTGCCAGCAATGCTCCATGGTAGGTCAAATATAGATTACCCGTCTCACTCCTGTTATTTCATGTTCCATTTCCAACCTCGAGTGATGCAGTGCATGATCTGCCCCAGCTTCATCAAAAGCCGTCAGCAACCACGCTCCTTCGCGCCTTGGATCTTCTCGTTGCAGAGCCGTCGAGCTTTTCGCCTTTTGCAAACACCAGGCGTCCCAAAGTAAGCGAGCAGGGGGTTTCAAGATATCTTACCTCGATTGTCTCCTCGGGCCTGAATTGGATTGGGGACGAAGACCAAAAGGATGCAATATGGGGCGCTGCAAGTGCCCGCCTCAGCGAACGTTCGGGCAGAAGTGCAATGCCTGCCATGACGCGCTCGTTCGAGATTTGTACCGACCTCACGGTTAATTTGCACGAGCCTACCTTGACAGAAGACAATCTTGGGCTCAAGACCTGGACCTCATCGGTCTTGCTGTCACGCCGACTCCAAGATTGTCGTAGATATCTTCCAACCGAGCCCACTCGAGTGTTGGAGCTAGGCGCCGGCACTGGTTTGGTCGGGATTTCGGCCGCATGCATATGGAAAACTCATGTGCTGCTAACTGACCTGCCGCAGATCCTACCAAATCTTCGAGGAAATCTTGAGCAAAACCAGGAATTGATCACAAGGAGTGGTGGGAGCACTGAGTCACGGGCACTTGACTGGGTTGATGAGACGGACACGCCAAAACGTGACGAAGACAAGTTCATGGTCATTGTGGCAGCCGATTCTATCTATTCTCCCGAACACCCTAAGATGCTTGTGAATGCTGTCACTCGCTGGATCTGCCGTTCGCCAGAGGCCAGATTCATCATTGAACTACCGTTACGTGATGGTTATGACGAGGAGAGACAAAATTTGCGCAGTATATTGCAACAGCACAAGTTTGACTTGGTACTCGAAGGCACAGAGGTCGGTTTTGACGATTGGTACCAACAAGATGGCAGCCCATCCGAGGTTACATGTTGGTGGAGTATATGGAGGCCCAATACCCAGGTCTGAGCGGACCTGCCCTAAGGCACATCTCAAGCACTCGGGCTGCTTCTCTCCTGGCTGCTTCGAAAAATTTTGCTGCCTCTGCGGCATACTCTGAACGGCGCCCCAATAGCCCCAACCCAACTGACCTGGTGATCGCACTCTGTATGGAGGTTTTGATCGTTTGTCCAATGTTGGATAATGGATGACCTCTCATAACCTTGAATTCCTCAAGGCGCCATGACTGGAGCCGTAGATGCCACTGCATCATATTGTCGAAATGCTTGCGCATGTAGAACTCTTGAAACCCCTAAAACACCGACCTTTTCCTTGAAGCCTTCAAATATCATCTTGTCTCGTTATGTCATGATTGGGTCTTGATTCTTCGTTCGGAGGGGTCGTATCTGTCCAACTCTTGTCAGTCCTACATCTCTCTTCGATTCTTCTTCCCCGTCGCCACCCAACAGCAGAAAAATGGTATCAACATACTGTAGCAACTTTTCAATCAGATCGACGTGTGTCATCAGCATGCGCCGACAACAGTATCGTTTCGCGCCAACTTGATCCATGGCTTCGCTACAACGCAAAGGACCAAAATGTTAGAATTCGTTTCCGGAAACGAAGCCAAAGCGCGTAGATACTAACCCATCAGGCATGCCACCCTCGAGAAGTTTCATATATCGTTCCCAAATATCAGCGATCACCTGAAAGAAGCGGAAGGAGTCAGTCGTTGTATTCCACGTTTCAACTTTAGTGGCTCTGCACAATACCTTTCCGCAGGAGAAACATCGTATTGGGATAATCATTTTGACCTTGGACAGTACAACAAGCGCACAATATCGTAAGGGAATCAGTAACGACTGGCTCGCTATGTTGGTTGTGTTGGTGAAGGATGGCGGGAGACTCGACTGCGAAAAGTCGCAGAAATTCTTCTCCGCAATTTCCCTGCACGTGACATGTCCGGAAAACCTTCCACGAAATTGGTGCGGAGAAAAAAAGTTTCTGATTTCGCTACACATCCTGTACGAGGTACAGCAATTGGAAGCGTGCACCGATCCTTTGCTTGGTCCGCCAAAGTCTGTCTCAAGATGTCACAGCCTACAAAGCGAGACGCCGACACTGCCTTCGAAGGCAATCATATCGGCGACTCGCAGAAACCGAAGCGCCAAAGACGAAGAAGGAGCGGGAAAGTCGAGGTCACAGACACACCGTCACTATTGAATGCGACGCCTTCACCTGCGGCGCTGAAAACGACACCCTCTAATGACTCTAAAAATCCCACTTCCAAGATCAAGGATGAAATCACTCCAGAGACTGCTTCTAGTGGCAGCAAACCGAAGAAGCAGATACCCACAAAGACTCCGACCAAGGGACCTACCTCCAAGCACAACTCAGAGGGATCGTCACAGAAGGTGAAAGGAGTTGAAGCTGCACTTAACAAGAGAAGAGACGGAAAGCCAAAGGCTCTGACCAATACAAATGAGCACAAGAAGAAGCCCAAACCACTAGAATCAGAACCTGGCCATATACAGTCACATCTGACAAGCACCGACGGTGAACAGTCCGAAAAGTCCGAGTCAAAATCGAAAGTGTTGGTCAACGAACTGACTACCGAGGGGAAAGCTGTGAAGTCCAAGAGGCCAAGGAAACGAAAGGTCACTTTGCTGAAGGATAGAGAAACAAGCATTGAGAATCAAAAGGTGGAACAACTTGCCGGAGAAGACAGATCAGACCAGATCGTCAAGAATAAGCAGAAAAGACAATTGACAAAGCAAAAGTCCAAAGTCGTCGCGCAATCAAAGACGCAAGAGTCGAACCTGAAAGGCAGCGGCTTCAGATTATCTTCCGGCAATGGCGGCATGTTTATCGACCAAGATCCAATTTTAACCGCTGATGACCAGTATCTGATCCTGCCGACACACTCTGAAATTCGAGTGTATTCGACCAAGACATCCTTGCTGGTTAGAGGCTTCCAAGTTGACAACAGATCTGATATCACCAGCTGCTCTCTATCGAAGGTTGATCCGAAGAAGTTGTACGTCTCCACTTCGAAAGGGTTGGTGTCTTTGTGGGATTGGACGACAGCCGCCGCAATAGGAAAGTACGATACGGGAGATGGACTGCGGCAAGTAATTCCACTTTCTCAACAAGAAGCGAAGGAGACGATTCTTGTCTTGAAAGACGATGTGCAAGGCCCTAAGCGCCTTGCCGCTTACTCCGTCAACACCTTTCAAGGCACCTTCACAGAATCCAAAACTGTGCTGCAAAGGACCAACCTATCACCATGCATCAGATCTTGCGCAGATGGAAACGTGCTGTTGGCATGTGTGGAGGACCAACTCTTAATCGGTCATTGTCAAGCTACAACAGAAGGTCATTCGGATCTCAGCTACACGTGGAGGGAAATCACCTTGCCAGGATTCATAACGAGCTTTGACGCTCAGGTCAACGAAGGCAAATCTAAGACGTCACGAAAAGTTCCCTTCCTCGATGTTGCGGTTGGTCTCAACGATGGGGTTATTATGCTCTATGAGGATATACTCTTCAAACTGATTGGAAAAGAGAAAAAGAACAAAGCTTCGACAGATGACATTGTTGGCCGCAGACTCCATTGGCATCGAACGGCCGTCAACACTGTGAAATGGTCTCGAGATCGAAACTATATTGTCTCTGGTGGCAATGAGACGGTCCTCGTCATCTGGCAACTGGACTCGAACCAGAGGCAGTATTTGCCACATCTTTCAACACCAATCTTGAATCTCAGCGTCTCAGCCGCAGGGTCTTCCTATGCTCTACGCCTTGGTGATAATTCTGTGATGATTCTATCCACGGCCGACCTGCTACCATCAACGAATGTATGCGGCTTGGCTTTGGGGTTAACTCAGAAGAACTCGAGCCTAATTGTCCTTCACCCAAATGTTCAAGGTCGACTATTGGCAGCAGTGCCTTCTGACGCGGCTGCAACAGGTCCATTTCATGGGCGATATGCGACACTGCTACAAGTCTACGATATCGAAACAAACGTTCAGGCCGGTCGTCAAGCCCTAACTCGAAACATGGTCACCGCGTCTAATGCTGCGCCGACTGGACAGCCAGTGAAGGAACCCACTGTCACGCATATCGCCATCAGCCACGATGGCAGATGGTTGGCCACAGTGGATGAATGGCAACCCAATGCACAAGATCTGGACAGTATGTACATCCGTGCCGATAGACCGGATCTTCGGCACCAATCGACCGAAACTAGTCTGAGACTGTGGTTGTGGAATGAAGAGAACAACAACTTCGAACAGGTGACCAGGGTCGATGAGCCTCATACAGCGGGCACAAACTCTGTTCTCGGTATGTCGTTTGACCCCACGAAAGTAGAACTGGCCACAATTGGCAGCGATGCAACCGTTCGCATCTGGTCGCCCAAGGCGCGTCACCGGAATGGAGTTTCGGTCAGGAACAAGGCCAACGAGCAGCTTTACACGTGGAGCTGTTCAAGGACGATCCGATGCGATCATGACACGCCCCTCGGGCCCGAAGGCATCGAAGCAAGAGCAACATCGGCAGCCCTTGCCTATTCGGACGATGGCTCAGTAGTGGCCGCTGCTTGGTTCTGGCCTGAGACCCGGTCCAAGTTGTCGCTGGAACCTCCTGGAGCCACGTTCAAACCTTCTCGAACTCGCTTCGTGCATCTCATCGATCCAAGCACAGGGAGAATCGCTTTCTCCGAGCCTTCTCTTCTATCTAGGACTAGCAGTGCTGCAAAACTCCTTTTTCATTCGCGCTATCTCATATGTCTCTCACAGACTCTTACGATTCTAGACACAATCACGAATCGATTGGTCTCGTCACCCCTCCAGCTTGACGAACAATACGTTCCACCAAGAAGCTGGAGCCCGTTTTACCTTGCGAAGAATAAATTCGACGGGACGATTGCACTGTGTGTTTCGCGTTCTGAAAAGCCGAGGGGGACCAAATTAGTGCTGTTAGGTTTGTCTGGTGACAGCTCAGGTGGCCCAAGTGTGCAAGTGAAGGTTTTGTATGAAAGTTCTTTCACGGCAATGGTCAAGGGACTGCTTGCCCTGACCACGGGACCGGGATACTTGGTCATTGATGAGAGGAATCAGTACCGGTTTGTTCGGCCAAGCACGGGGGTATTCACAAAGTCAGTTGGTGGAGGCAAGGAAACCGAGCAAGTCACCAGGAGTCTGGACGATATTTTGGGTCGACAGGGTCTATTGGGACCAGCAGCCTCTGCCACGCATGGGGAACTGGCGGCTCTGCCTCCCAGCACTGCAGATGAGCATGTTGGCGCCAGGGGTGGGCTTGATGCAGTGCTGAGGTTCCCTTCATCGGCACAAGTACCTACGCCGACAGAGTTGTTTCAGAGAGTTGTGGGCGTCTTGGCCCAAGGAGGGGAGACCGAGGTGGAATAAAGATCGCGCATGCGAGTCACCCTGGGCAAGATGCATAGATGAGGTGGAGTAGGGAGATGCGATCCACGTATCCGCACGATGTATCTGATCCGGCCCGAATTGATAGTTTCCCAACGAAAGAATGATGGAAAGATGTCGTCTTGTTAAAAGTGAACAAGAGCTAGGTAGCTCACTACACTACACTACGCTATGCCGTGGCGATGCGAGTGGAAACCGAATCTTCTCGAGCCTGATGTGGTAGATATACGGTACATATACTATATTTCATGTACCAAACAGTCATGTCACAGACCTCTTTCTGCTCAGTACATACAGTACCTACCTAGATACGTCACTTTCGTCACCCTGGTGCCCGGGCGGCGGCCGCCAGGTACAAGCCAATTCAGGCGTGCGTTGCGGCAAATGCGGCCGCGGCGGTGGTGCTGGTGGTAGGTAGCCAGCCTGCCAGCTAATCGACAAATCCAGTCGCCCATCACCCATTACCCATCCAGAAATCCCCCATCTGATTACGTATCCGTCTACCTATCCAAAGCACACTGTGTACCTTCTCACGAAGTGCGAGTATTCCGAGATCGAGCCGGGGAGAGGGGCCGTGCAGACTGGATTTCAATGATTGTCTCTTTCCCCCCTCCTGTACGATGCGCTCGGGAAAGGCCCGGACGAAAGGCCGATGTACAGAGTACCGCGAGCAGGGATCTGGAGCCGTTTTAGGACGCCCAGAGAATGGTTACAATGTTACAGGATCGGGATCAGGTTCGACGAGGAGGGACGTAGTCGTAGCGGGGTTGGTTGGTATTGGTATGCCGTTGAATTGGACATGCGCATGTCTAAGCAGGGCCGTGCGGACTAGGACGGAAAGGAGGAAAAGGAACAGAGGTAGTGGGTGGTGGAGGTGGATGAGGAAGAAGAGGAGGAACTGCCGCCGTTCTCTGTTGGTCGACTACTGCAATAGTCGCAATCTGGCCGAGTGCGGGGAAAAGGATGAACAATTGAGGATCTGGTGTTGATGAGCGTTGTCGAGCTTATCGAGCATACGGTGCAAGGGTACGTACGAGACTGGATTGGAGTCCACACTCAAGTCAATCGTCAGTTAATCAGTCAGCCCCCGCTCATCGCCAGTATCTCGCGTCCGTGACGCCGAAGTGCTCGAGAGGGGCAAAGTGAGGGCACAGACGGGGTTTTTTTTTCTGGCCATGCATGGGTGGGTGGATGGTGGGTTGGCGGGTGATAGTAAAACGGGATTACTATAATAACATCACCTCCTCTTTCTTCCCTCGAACAGAGTAACATTCACCTTGTTTAAACCAGCGTAGCGTTGTCACCGTTGTGGGTTGTTTACTTCTTGCTCCCAAAAACTTGCTTCTATCGCCCTCTCCCTCCAGTTCGAGATCACAGCGATAAGATATTACCCACTCTTCACCCACGGCGAAAACAATCAACGACAAAAATGGCCGTCAACGCTACCGTCCTGTACCCCGCCGAGGAGGGCGCCACCTTTGACATGAACTACTACCTGAAGACGCACATGCCGCTGGTCAGCGAGAAATGGGGCAAGTACGGCCTGCAGGGGTGGAAGGTCATCCAATTCCAAGCCGCGCCGGACGGGACCAAGCCCTACAGCGTCTCGGCCCTGTTGACCTGGGAGACGGCCGACGGGCTCAAGAAGGCGCTCAGCAGCGAGGAGGCCCAGACCGTGTTTGGCGACGTGCCCAACTTCAGCAACAAGTCCCCGCTCTTCATCGCGGGTGACATTGTTGGTTCTTCGTGAGTTGCCGCTGCTGCTCTGTATGTGTGGGAGGACGAGGACAACCCTGAAAGAGGTATATATACACGACGTCAAAGGTCCCTCCCAACAAGATTTGTTGCCGTTGCTAACAAGACGGTCTAGGACAGGGAAGAGTCGGTTGTGATGGACGAGCTCGGACAGAGATAAAACGCTGGTCGCAGAGACAATGCAGATATTCCTTGAGCCTTACCAAAGAAGACTTGACCTAGGGCCATCGTGTCCGTTCAGGTCGTCGATGACTCAATCTCTTGACATATGGAAATGCGTCTTACCGTCTTATCTCGCACATGAGTTTTCTTGCGAAAGGAGCCAGGCCACCTTCTGTCGCATTTCGCCTTGTTTATCCTACGGCGCGGATAGCCCATGGTAGCCCAAGCCCGCGTATCACAGAGATGATGTTTTTGCCAGGCTCGTCCACATTCACTTTTTCTCGTCTTGCACGGTCTCACCGCGGTTATGTGATATTGAATATTTTGACGCTGCTTTCATACATAGTTCACAGGCAATCCTCCTCTTAGCCTAGCAGAGGAGAACCCCTCATCAACCAGGCCCTTGCTTATACCAGGTCGCTCGCGGGGACAGGATCCTTTGGTCCCTTCCGCTCCGCTCTGCTGGCTAATAATGTTTGCGGAGAGACAAAGCAGGACAGGGACAACGGAGGCCACGCGGCGGGGTATATACTCGTAGAGGCTAGGCTTCGAGCACACCAAAGGGAGTGAGTGGCTTCAGGCGGCGCAGCGTATGGGAACTCGCAGGATCTGGGTGACTTGTAAAGGTGTTGTGCGAATAGCGAATAGTGACAAACGTCGAACATCGGGCTGCGGGGGAATTTTTTACGTCAGTCAGCAGGACTTGTCTGCGCAGTGTTGGACGGATGACATGACATGACATGACAAGCACGTGGCGATTTGACGTGTCCAGTGAGGAAACTTGTACTCGTACGAGGTACCGGTACCGCGATGTCTGAATATCAGCCTCAGGATAAGAACTATGACAACAGGTATTTGATGCCGTGCGACTCTAAGAAATGCTCAAGAGGGGCAGCCCGGGGCTCACAGCTTCCCGGGGCAGGGATCTGGACCATTACCCCCAATTTCTGCACCACTCCTACTCCTAATTAGAAGATCCTAGTTCTCAGCCTTGTCCTTATTCCTTAGTACATTAGGCTACCTTCGCAGAAGAGCACACCCATCTTGTAGACAAGTGTCTGGCCTTCCCGAGCATAGGCCAAATCGGACATTGAGTGGTGGTGGTCTCGATCGAAAGATTCGGGGACTTGATAATAGTGCATTCTGCCTTGCGACGGTGAATCTGCATCCACGGTTGTGGCAGGACTTCGGGTCGTTCGAATGGTGTAGTGTTAGCTCCAGTTTTCCTCAAAGCATGCCGCACGCCCTCCGTATATCTATCTCATTTCCAGGCTGATGGTTTGGAGTCTATTAATCGGACCAGGAGCACCTCAACCACATCTTTCTTGTGTGCTAGCATAAGTCTGGAATACCCGGCTCCAATAGTGACGACGCGCAGCTTCCTCGATGGTGTGTATGTGGGCCACTGGATTCATTCCACCGGAGAACATCTTCCGTTTGCGAATGCCGATTCTGGAGACACCCCATTCTGCCCTCTCGCAAAGGCATCGTCGTTGACCTGGGGGCGTTCCTACACCGTGGCGATTATTCCTGGAGCAGCAATCAAGACTAACCACTGTTTATATCAACACGAGACAGCCTCAACTTGGGTGCATTTTCCCTTCCATAAGGGGTTAGGTAGAATTGCGGCGAATATGACTTCGGGACGATGGATATCGATGTCCGCGAATATACATTAGCCAGCCAGCCAGCCTTGCTCTCTCCTCTCTCCACACCTGTATGGCTTTTTGGCCGAAGTCGCGGGGAAATCTCCCCATCTTGATCGCCCGAGGCACAGAATATATTCTCTTGGGGGCAGTATATTGTCAGACATCCAAGTATCGTCTCTGATATTGCTTTTCAAAAACAAGAGTGGACACTGGACAATTTTTCATAATTTAACCACGTTGGACAAAAATGTTGGCTCTCCGATTCCACGGCAATAGAGACCTGCGCGTCGATGAAATCCCCAAACCCGAGCTGAAACCGGGATGGGTTTTGGTGAAGAATGCGTGGGCTGGAATTTGCGGGTCGGGTACGACTTTGAACGAGACAGGTCTTTCCAGTAGGATTTATCGAGCTGATTAGAGGGGGTTTCTAGATTTGCATGAATATGTGATTGGTCCCGCGAACATGCCCGTCGAGCCGCACATTCTCACGGGTGAAACTATTCCGTCCGTCATCGGTTCGTTGAATGATTGAGAAATTTCTGGCGATCTGGGCTCACTCAAGCTGTAACAGGTCACGAGTTTTCCGGCACGATTGAAGCTGTGGGGGAAGGTGTCGACGATCTCTCGCCAGGGCAGAAAGTGGCCGTCTTCCCGGTCCTCACCGACGGTACATGCTACTGGTGTCAACAGAACACATACGGCATGTGCGATAAATGGGGGTTCCTCGGATATAGTGGCTGGGGTGGCGGGATGGCGCAGTATGTCTGTGTCCAGAGGAGGGAAATTCACGTTATACCCGACAGTATCCCGTTGGATGTCGCCGCACTGGTTGAGCCCCTCGCTGTAGGCTGGCATGCCGTCAAGAAGAGCGCGGTGAAACCAGGCGACCTGTGTCTGGTGCTTGGAGCAGGTCGGTCATGAACTCTCTGGGGCTCCAACATTCGAGCAAACGTATCTGACACATCCCAGGTCCCATCGGATTAGCAGTGGTTCATTGTCTGCGTGCTCATGGAATCGAAGCCATCGTGGTTTCCGAGCCCTCTCCAGCGAGAGCTGCGCAAGCGGCGGAAGCGGGCGCACAGCATGTCCTTAATCCCATCAAGGAAGACGTACCAGCGTTCTGCCAAACATTGGGAGACAAACGGGGCGTTCACGCCGTCTTTGATTGTGCTGGACTCCAACAAGCGTTCGACGTCGGGCTTGCTAGCGCACGGGGAAAAGGCCAAATCCTGCAAGTCGCCATCTACGAAGGGCCGCTGACCATCAAGACGCCAAATGTCATCACGCGGAAACAGATCAACCTCGTCGGCTCCAATATCTACACGCGCGAGGAATTCCAAGAGGTCATTGACGCCATTGCAAGTGGTGAGTTTCCCACACACACACACACACGTCTTCCTGAAGCTATTCTGGAACCTTGCTAAAACCTGTGAGCAGGTCAACTCAAGGAGCCCGAAAAAATGATCACCTCTAAAATTCCCTTGAGGGATGCTGTCTCCAAGGGGTTTGAGGAGCTCTTGAAAAATAAAGATCGGCACATAAAGATCCTAATTGACCCGCATGCATAGAAAGGATATAGTGTCAGGATCAGCGTTGGTTATATATAAGAGACTTTCTCGTCCCTCGCTACCAAATCTCCTGCGGTAGAAAGAATTACGTTCCATTCCAAGACACATCGCTCCTCACTCCGGTAGTGAAGCTAGCTTCTCTCAGTACTACCAGTACGGAATAACGTCGCTCCCACCAATCAACTAACGTGATCGTAGCTCTAAATGTGGGTCTGGATCAGTAAGGACTATACAACGAGACAAGTACTCTGGGTTTTTTGAACGTCTACCTGTTGGCACTTTATTACCAAGGGGTGTCAGATGCCTCATTATAGCTACGGTTCAATGAAACGGTGTTCATCATCGAAACATCATCCCTCCATCGACAACTATACTTGTCCCAGTGACGAAATCCGACGCCGGGCTGGCCAAAAATATAGCTGTCCCTCGGAGGTCTGAAGGATTGCCCCATCTCCCAGCCGGCGTGCGATTGACAATGTATTCCTCCATTTCGGGGAACTGGTCCAACAGTGCTTGTGATAGGGGTGTTCTGAAGTATCCGGGACAAATACAGTTTACCTAAGGGGTTCATTGACGTTAGGTATCCGCGAGAGAGAGAGAGAGAGAGGACACTGTCATGTGTATGAACATGACACTATACTTGCCTGAATTCCGTGGCACGCCCACTCATTACTGAAAGCTTTGGTCATTTGTAAAACTCCTCCTTTGGTCGCCGCATATGCCGAGACGTTGGTCATTGCCACGTAAGACGTAAAAGAGCCAAAGTTGATGATCTTTCCCGGCCGACCAAGTTTAATCAAACGTTGTCCGAACTCTTGAGCGGCGACGTAGGCCCCTTTCAGGTTGACTGAGAAGATCTGTTGTTGGAAATGAGATGTGTGTTAGCCTTTGATGCTTCTCTCTGAAAGATACACGCGTGCGCGGCGCCTGGCCAGGGGGCTGCCTGGCTGGCTAGCACGACCACGACCATCACCAACCAGGTCAATCTTGTCGTCGGTCATGTCCTCAATGGGACCCCTCCGATTCAAGCCCGCACAGTTCAAAAGAATGTCCGGCACGACGTCCGCCTTCCACATGCGGTCAAAGGTCTCCCGGAGTTGCTTCGAGTCTCCGACATCGCACTCGAACCCTATAACTTTCCTGCCGAGTTTTCTCACGGCTTCTTCCAGCGTGGTCTGGCCGGGGTCCCGGGGAAGATGGATGGACACGATATCGGCCCCGGTCTCTGCAAGAGCGATACAGATTTCCAACCCGAGGCCGCCGGTACCTGTGTTGAATACGGTCAGTATACATGGCCATCATGGCCTCAACTGGTCCAATTGAGGGGGTTCCGAGCCCTCGCCTACCTCCAGTGGCAACCACTGTTTTACCTTCTAAAGAGAAGAGCTGTGACGTTGGAACGCGAGGAATTTGGGTGGCCATGGTTTTTATTCGGGGCGATAAATATATTCCAACTATACAAGGGGACGAAACTTCGTTTGTCGTGTTTCCAGTTGCGGCTGTTACCTTTTTTCAATCAGACACTTTCATTTACCCCGCATCATAACGGAGAAGCTTCACCGAAACTCGGGGATGGTCGAATTTCAGCCTCATTTCCAGTTCTCATAAACCGCCCTTCTGGACGATTGACAAAGGTCTCCGGCTGCAGCCTGCTTGACCCGGACAGGCTACGGAACACGATGTTCGGTTGGCATTTCACAGATACACACCCTTTCTCTGAGGATTTGGGAGGACTTTGCGGTAGCGTCCAATGCCACGGACAGCAGCGGCAACACGGTAAAGAGGACGTTAGATTCCTAATCTTGAATTTAATGTTTCGATTCGCCTGCGCGGTAGGAAGCGTTTGGGAGAGACGAGATACCATTTAATCGGTGGATTGTCCAGGAGAGAGTCAAAGATCAATCTGGACTCGGTGATGTAGCATCTATACTCTAGGGCACCACTTCTTGGTCATGACGTGCAGAGCTGGCTGCGTGTCGTCCCCTCGTTTTCTTTCAACCTTGGTCGATCATTTCTTTTGGAGAGGTGTTCCATCGACCCCGACTTGGTCGCCTCTGATAACGAGAGACGAGCTCATCAAATGAGCTGTACCGGGAGGCATGACGCCTGCTAGCTCGACAGAGCAAGAGGCATATCTCCAGCTGATACATGAGGGATGATTGAAGACGGAGGGTAACTCGACGATTTTGTCAGCGTGTATCGAGTACTCGGTGAGGTTGCTGAAAAGCACGAGGCGAGGGAATGTGCCAGGGTAGGAATCACGTGATATTTCACGTGAACCAAGTCACGTGAACAACCTTGATGGGCTGCCATCCAAGACCAAACAGGCTTGGATCCTGCGAAACTGCGGTCAAGACTCCAGACCAAAGTCCCAAAGCCCAAAGTCCCTGGGGCCAAAAGAGGCACTGGCAATTGGTTACTGAGATGTACCTGGTGGAACTTTGGATCTGACTTGTGCAATCCTCACCCTCACACGGCCATCAGACACGTCGTTGTTCGCCTTGCTCTCTTCTTCGATGCCTTCTTTACGCGGAATCCATGTCTCTTGTGGAACTGTTGTCGTCCCCTTGCGCCATTGCATGGGAGCATTGTTACGGTACTTCCGGGTGATGGTGGTGGCTTGACCCTGCACTGCCACTGCTCCAACCTCCAGAGATGTATCGGCTTCAGCTGGTATTCGTCCTCAATCAATCTCGAGCTACAAACATTGGCTGAGATGCTGTTATCCTACCTAGGTGTCGATGTTTGAACTCTCTGTTGCCTCATTCCCAGGCTGAAGTTCCTTCCTCTCCGACCATCCAATGCAGTCTTACACATGGCAGACATTCACAGACGGATGCTCGTCTCATGGAGAAAATGGAGCCAAAGTCGAACCTCTATCCAGTCGGCTCTCAGCCCTTTGGAACTTGAAGCCGTGAATGCCATATATTCGCCGCTCGACCACGATCAGCAGCAGATCAGACTCGTGGAATTACAACCCTCCGCGAGAATTGATGCCGAAATTGTCTGCACATTGAAGGTAGCCTCATTTGACCAGCGTGTGCCGGACTACGAGGGTCTGTCGTACGCATGGGGCGATCCTCGTAGCGTCGATTTCGTCAAACTCAATGGGGTTCTCACCCCTATTACTACCAATCTAGCCGCAGCCCTGAGGCACCTTCGAAAGCCCTCCGAGGCCCGAGTGTTGTGGATCGATGCTCTGTCAATAAATCAATCCGACAACCGCGAGCGCGCCCACCAAGTCAAAACGATGAAGAAGATCTATCAGAATGCACAGGCAACGAGGATTTGGCTCGGACTGGCTGGACCAGAAAACGACCTTGCGTTCGATTTCTTCATCTACCTCGCTCTCGCTATGCGGGAACGGACTTTCGCTGACACCATGCCAACGTTTTTACAAGAAGGCATGAAGCATCTGCTTCAGTTCAAAGAAATATTCCAGCGGTCGTGGTGGAGCCGAGTCTGGGTTCTGCAGGAAGCGATCCTCGGTCCTGTTGCTTTCTTGCATTCTGGTCACAGACAGATACCTCTGCATCAAATGCTAGACGCCTACAACTTCCTGCGAAGCTCGGGAGAAAATGGATTACTCAGACTTGCAAGACAGATCATCAATGTCCAACATCTCTCGGACCTGGTGGCGTGTATGCGCCAGAGCCTGGACCTGATCGAAGACTTGCGGAGTTTCTATTTGCACACGGATCCCGCACAGGATAGCAAGGAAGTGACATGGAAGTGGACCACCTGGAATCCTCCGAGCAAACCCGAGATCTTGATCGGCTTCATCGAGCTGCTGGCTAAGTGTCGGAGGAGCTACGCAACTGATGCCCGCGACAAGATCTACGGGTTGCTCGGTCTGGCACCCACAGAAGTGACACAAGAACTCGAGCCTACGTACGAAATCTCGGCCGAGGTCTTGTTTACCGAGACGGCCGTTAAATTGATCGAGAGCAGTAACTCCTTGTTATTGTTCAATCAGATTTCCCCTCACAAGTCGAGAGGCCGAAAAACTGCTTTACCTACCTGGGTGCCTGATTGGGATTCACCTGGAAGCCATTGCGCCGATATCGAGCTCCGAATCAAACAAGAAAAGATATTCAACGCGTGCGATTCGGAAGAATTGAAATCGGCCAGAATCCACGACTTCGGGCTGGCCTTGATGGGCGTCTGTGTGGGCGAGATATCAGATTTCACCAAAGCTATGCCACCTCACTGTGAGCACAAAGATGCTCCGGACCGTTTCAGCGACTGGGAAAAATTCTCGACAGGGGGCTCGACGTGGGTTTGGGACGACAAGGTAAAATCGTCCTTCTCCAAAACATATTGGCGCACCATTTTGAATGGAGCGGTTCCCGACGACAGCGGCTTCAATCTGCGCAAGGTGCAAAATGAGGACCTCGACGAATTCTTGCAATGGCGACACGAGAATAAGTGGGTGGCTGGCACGGAGCACGACTTTGTGCTTCTGCACGGCCGGCACAAGTGGAACGAGCACATTTCGCGCACAACGGGGGGACGCCGATTGTTTCGGACCAGATACGGGGACCTGGGGCTTGGACCCGCGGGGATCAAATCGGGCGATCTCATCTTCGTCCTTGCAGGAGGCAGCCATCCATGTATACTGCGACCATCCAAGCTTCACGAGCGCCTCTATACTCTGGTTGGGGAATGCTACGTCGACCACCTGATGTATGGGTACGGAGTCCGCAATCCCACGGCTGAGTGGCGTTGCTCCATGCCTCGTCACCCTGTATGGCGTCTCTGGTCACGCCATGCCAGCCGTTCAGGTTGGGTGCGCACCATTACATTGAACCGGTCTCGAAACGATGCCAAGAATATCCGTATGGAACATTCTATGTTGTGGATGCACGAGCGCGATAGCAACAACTATTGGCAGACTATTGTTCTATGCTGAAAGCATCTTGCTGCGAATCGCCAGGTCGAGAGCTGTTAGGGGCTTCGACAATGTTCACGAGACGCATACCCGCTAGGAAACCTCCTACGAAACTTCACTTGCCCCTCTCTCTCGCTCTCTCGACCTCTCGCCTCAGATTCCACCATGTCTCCTCCAGTGAGCAGAAGAGCTTCTCTGACAATATGGTCACTGATAGGAAGGGGGACAGTCCCCTTGTGGAGCATTCTTTGCCTGCACAAAGGCTGAGTGTACCGGCGATTGATCGAAGTGAGGACGAACATGACGGAAAGGGAGGGTCTCATATCAGCGACACAGGCCATGGCTACCTAGGTAGCTGGCTGCTGAATCCAATTGAACCAACGCGACAGCAACCATGCAGACACCCATTCCAGCCGTATTACCGGCCTCGCTTTGACGTCGACACATGCGTACCTACATATCCATGTCCTCGGTCCATGCCTAGGTATCATAATCAACAATCAAGAGTTCCTGCCTCTCTGGGAAAGAACCGGCCATATCCACTTTTTGACCAGCCATTGCTGGATCGAGGATGGTCTCAAAGTCTCAGTCTCTTTCTACACTCGCAGTACTGGAAGGCAATACTCTGGGCCGAGTAATTCTCCTCTCCTCTCGATACCATATCCATCGAGCTATGACTCAGCTTGTCATCCTCCTACCTTACCTATTTTGCTACTAGACCTATTAGGTACCTACCTACCCACTACCCTGGTACCGTGGCGCGAACCCTGCATAATATGCACATCAGACGAGGCTGGCTCCGCCTCAGCAAATGTACGTACATACCGAATACATCCACACATGTATACACTACCACCACCTACCCTAGCTACCCTACCCACCTAGGTATCTATCTACCTTTATCGTCCTGCCCGACTTCCTCTGTTTCCCCTGTTTCCTGGGCTTCCCTGGACCTAGTAAATTCGGCGATTCTGCGTTCCCTGTTTCTGGAGCTGATTAAGCGCCACGCCCGCACCGCGTCGCACCGCAGTCCCACCCGGCCCAGACTTCCAGACGAGCACCAGCGCCCACAAACCCATTTGTGGCCTTTTTTTTTTTTTGGAGATGGAATGAGTGAGTGGGTGGGTGGTATAGGCGTTCCCGGTCATGAGTGATGAGGCAAGACGAGAAAATATCGAGCACCACTCAGACAATGGTTGAGAGACTGATTGACTGACGAGTCACGTCCCCCTATCGGGCGCAGGGGAGAAGAGACAAAGGACAAAGCAGGGCAGGCCTATAAGACCTCATTTGATGGTTTTAGAGGTTTTCTATCTGAACAGGTTCAATCCCTACAACACCAAAGACCCTTTTCTACTTCCGCCCCAATTGCGACCATATCATGACTCCTCCTCCTTCTCTTCTCGCTCTGCCATACGAGCTGCGACGGCAGATATGGACGCTTGTCCTGGGCCCAACTCAAGTCCACGCCTGCAAATGCCACTCAACACCTGGCAAGTGCACGTCCAAACACGCCGGCGTATGCTGTCAA